TTGTGCAAAACCATTTGATTAATAATGGGTCATAAGCAATAAACGACAATAATTTACCAGTCTCTACGGAGTGCCTACCCATCCTGGCCAGAAGAATCAAGATGCAGCTCAAGGGTTAAATTATCCCGGACACAATGACGGTTTGTGGCGTGTTATGTGTAGTGCGTCAACGAACTTCGATATTACGCATACCGCAGGTGGTGGAAATTAAAAGTGACTGGGTTATGTCAGTTTTATAAAGCGTGTGAAGGAAGTGACATCAGGCTCGGTAAGTCCTTTTACGATTGGTCATCGTCTTGGTGCGTGCGTCGTTAGTCCACATAGAAGAGCATTGATCATTTAGGTGCATATCCTCCTATTAGGGCGCCTGCGGATGAAGNAGGATTCCGGCTTGTTGGATGGCGGTACTGGAATGGGTAGTGTACGAGGGAACTAAGTTTGATAGCACTGAAAGTACGGGCCCCAGGTTCAAAATCAATGTTCTCTTGTCCTCGCATAGCATCTGCTCTCGTTTGCTGTTCTATACGGGAATTATTTTTTCGACGTTTGTCGAACAGCAAAAAAGGTAAAACTGTCCCGAAACCTAGTAAGAAAAACATCCGTTCGTACTTTTCGACACACAATATGTAGCTGGATATCATACGTGACAACAATGCTTCAAAATCGTTCTTGACAGTGTTTACCTCACGAGAACAATTCCAGTGTCATATTGGGAACCAAGAGTGCTGTTATAAAACGACTTAGAAGAGGTATCAATTATTGTTGTTTTTGCACAAAACACTTCCATTAAATTGTGCCGACGAAAAGTCTGACAGATTAACATTATGTCAAACAAGAAGACTAAGACCACGAAAAATAACAGCTATTTCGGTAGAATGGTGAACTGAATCCCTAGATGATGAGCCACATTGGATATTGCACAAGAACAACTTTATTTGAACGGTAATCGCCGTGTCAAATGAAACACTGAAATTTAATGGGCTAAGAACATGGTACACCCCGAGCACGAATAAATCATAGCCTTTGGATGAACGCTTGTACTAAGATCGCGAGTAGTTACATAATACCCCAGAAACAATGATTTTCCTTTTCCAAACTATAAATTCGGTGTGAATGTTGGCACATCATAAGCGTCCAAATTTTGAACGAGAAAGAAACGAACCTGAGCCATATGCTTGTCTACATCTTGCAGCTCATTGCATCGAGTCCAGAACACACGCGCGTACCGCTTGACCTCGTCCGGTGTTTTGCCTTCAACATCCATTGAGATCGCTTCCAAATCATCACGTCCGTGTTTTTCGTTTGCTTTGATAAACTGCTGAAAATCTCGTTTGGACCAGTTGGTGAAACCCTGTGAATAGGTGGACGGATCAGACATTTTGATGATCAGAGAATGATATATAAGTTGTGCGGAAAATGCGTCTGAAAACAATACTATATCCTAGAATTAAAAAAACAAACTCCGCGACTGTCTCCATCAGACGGATAACAAAAGAATGGCCGGAATTAGATTTCGAGAATAGATTGATTGGGGACTATGTTCATTTATTATTGAAAAAACCAAAGCAGGAAGGACAACAGAAGCATGATTGACGTCTATGAGGATTTCTTGGGTAGACAATAATGAACTTGGAGGTGTTACTAACACACCAGCATTTAATTTAAAAGATTTCATGCGCGGAGAAGTTGGCTGTATGGATAAATCCATATGACGATGAGCACGTATATACAAGATATTAATAAGCATCGTGACACTATTAACACTAAAAAGCAAAATTACGGCTTGACCGTCAGATGTTTGGAGCGATTCACTCGGATTGCATTTGTCATTAAGGCTCATGGAAGAGGAAGTGCTATGAGGAATCTTTCGTTCAGATCGCAACTGTGTTCGGAATAAATGATACCGAACCTTAGCATCATTGAATATACACAACGGTGGCAGAATTCGTTGTAAACAAATGTAAGAGCTTCCGAACGTTCTAATTTGATCAGACACAACTCCTTGCGTAGTCGCGTATACACATTCCGCTTACTACCCTGGATTGTAGTTATCCCCTCTGCCACAAAGAATCAGGTTTAATGTGGCAAAGAAAAACAGGACCATGTGACAATAAACCATTCAAGTTCCAACTTTTTCAGTTACGTTAAAATAATCTAATAAAAAAAACAGAAACGGAGGGGTTGTCATGATTAGAAACTGAGGATATCCGAATTTGGATCACAAAGTGTATGTAAGAAAGCAGTGGTTGTCGCCGTTTTGCGAGGTGCGGTTTTGACTTTCTTCATTTAAGAACGAGTATCTGGTTTTAGAGATCACAAGTGTGGACATTTATCCTATTACTTTAGAGTCTGAGTTGGTTTCATATGAGTTCTTAACCAAAGGCATTCACATGGACCAAGATGGAGCAGTTGTGACGCATTGATTGAAAGCCAGGTTATCGTTATGCGGCCCTGTTCTTACGGGTCATGCACTTTCATTATTATTCCATGTCACACGTAACTGGGTACAGACCGTGCCCGACAAACCCATTCATGATTTGTTCATGGCTGAAATATTGTCAAATTACCCAAACCAAAGCAAATCATACGACGATGGACTCACGAGCACGACGCTCACTGTAGCCATGAGTTGCAACCAGTACTCGATAAGAAAAAGGGTGGACAACAGTCAGGTGTGTAAAAAAACATCCGAAGATGTGCTGTGTTTGTAATGGATACAAGACGACCACTCTCCAGCAATAGGCATTGCCCAGTAGATGATAATGGTCGGAAGATAACGATGGTAGAATGCCAAAGGTCATTAATTATTATCGATGGGTATGGTTCAGACCTCAAACCTGGAAAGTATAACTGCACTATCACACAACTCACAAAAAGTGGAATATAGCTACTCAGACTAACGAACCAAAGAATTCTGGGAAGACCCTCCAAAGACACCTCAGTAGTAAGGTCTTTCATGAACCATGCACTATTACCTCCAACCCTGAGTGAGCTTACCAAAGATGAAACACAAAATCATGAAACTGGATGGGTACCGAAATGATCAAGGGGGGACAATAAAACTACTATAGTTTACTTGAGTTAGAAGTTCTTCCTTTTCGGCTACTTCTTCCTCTGTGAGTGGTTCAGCCTCATCGATACGGAGTTGCTGCTCCAATCGCTCTCGTTCTGCGTCCGGTCCGGCGTCTGGGTTTCGTGGGACCTTGTAACCAATACTTTTTCTGACACAGAAATCGAAAAAAGGAGATTCGATCGTTATGCGAAATCAGAAATGGTCCAGCAAGGCTAACTGGATGTGATTCAATTCGATAGAGGTCACACTGGTCTAGCTGGGGGGTATTCACGTTCTACCTTTCAAGTCGAAGGCAACCGCTTCCGATAATCTGACAAGACATAACTGAAGTGGAAATAAAAGTCTGCAAGTTTATCAGTGCCAGCTATTGAATGATGAATCAACGCAAAATCAACAAGCTCAATGTTTTCTTTATCATCTCATATGGTGTATATCCTTGAGTTATGGAGTTTAACCCTTCCGCTACATTCACTTCTGAGTTATAGAAAAGTAAGCTGAATGCCGAAATGAATTAGGGGGGGGGGGCGTTCGAAAGCCGAGGAAATCACCAAATTTCGGAACTGTCTTTGTCTACACGTTTCATAAAAAATGTTCATTGTGCTTTTTATTGTTTGTACTACCGTAATCTTAGATATTCAGTGTGGGGAGGATTGGCAACTGAACCGGTAATCAATTTCAGATATAAAAATATAAACTAACAGAAGAACAATATGATTACTGACACTGAATGACGCAAAAAGAGGAGAATTAAGGACGTGGATCAAGCTTCCAGGTGAGGGGCTATGCTGGGAAAACTGGCAAATCAGTGTGGCACGAGTTTCGACAAACCCTGCACAGGTGATTACATTTTAGCTTTTACTNTACTCGATTTTCTCTCATGCTGCGAGGTCAGTTTCACTGATCACAATGATCCGCTGAGAGATTCGAGGAAATGCGATTACAAGCTATGCCCCGACCTTAGCATATAAAAAATGCAACCCGTAAGACAGCAGCTTTGTTCCATACAAGTCGCTGTGTAGTAGTGGTTCGATTCGTTCCCCTTGTTTGAAAAGTTTTATGGAGTAAACGTAATGTCACAATGTACATGAAGTTCCCAAAGGTGGGTGACATTTGCCATGCGCAGTACCGTTTTTAGACTGTTGCGGCGTTTTATAAAGAGGAAATTTCCCAAGCGAAAACTCAACAGGTACTTGAGTGGTGGTGCTGCTCGTTCGTTGCCAATTATTTAGTGAGTCTGAGCTAGCCACCAATTTGGTAAGCCCTCCTCTATCCATGACAAGAGGACTATCAGGCAGCCTATAGTTACACATCACTGAATAACAATGGGGACGAACAGCATTTACATAAGGGTCTACTGGTTGATTAAGAGAACTGTTAAAATAAACCCCGGGATTTGTAGTAGTGAACTGCTTAAGGTCTCGACGTTATAGGTGCGGTATTTAGTCAGGTCCAGCAGTTTAGAGTAGCTATGATAAAACCGTCATGTTTTGAGTGACACACACACACACACCTGCATTCGGGTGACCGCGGAAAACCGTATTTCAAACGAGTGACATCCTGAATGCATAAATGCCTTGATAACGCGACATCAAAAATCCGATCGATCAGAGGTAGTAAGGCGCAACTGTAGTTCATCGCAATCGGAAGTACCATGATGTAAGTTACTAATTAAACGGTAGTCACTAGGATTTGAAGGAAACTTGACTTACCGAAAAGCATAGATTTCTTTGTCCAGAAGTTCAAACAGCCGAGGAGGGAAGAACTGAAAGTCCTGCACATTTGGTTGCTTCGGTGGGCGAGGTGGTTTTGGTGCCTTGGGTTCGGAGACGCGTAAGGCCTCCCGGAAATAGGCATCCACAGCATAGTTTGCTTTTCTTTCGCGCTTCGGAGGCTCAATCCAGCCCTATAACAGAATATGGTACTTGTTTTCATCACAATCAAATAAAAACGTACAGAAACTTCAAGACCACTAAACCCATATGGTGGCAATAAATCGCAACAATGAAATAAAAACCATGTTCTGGACATTCTAAGCGAAGAGGAACACTGACAGTTTATGGGGGCTGTGAATGCTTCACTTCTAATTACATAGTCAGTCTTTTCCCTTATTTTGATTGCGTTTTCCAGTATGCATCTTGGTATAATCAACAGCAAAACAGATGACTATAACATGTTCGTTTGCGATAGCCACAGTCCGGGGACTTGCAGTAGCCAACTATATAAATCCCCAATAGGTTATGTGTGGTGGTAAGCCAGGCGGTAATAAAAGTGCCAGAAAACAAAGTGGCGGCGACGGAACATGAGCGGCATTAATGAATACAATAAAGTTTTATACGAGTTTGGTATAAGAGACGTGTCTAATGTGATCCGGCTTTTTAGTGAGGTATTTCTGGCTTGTACACAATCGAATACGGACTATTAACCCGTGGTTCCTTAGAAGCATATTCCCTAGATGTGAGTGCAACCTTGGTAATCATGTATTCCTTTTGAATTGAAAAGCCAAAAACAGAGGTTTGCACAGTGTATCTTGGATTACTTGCTGCATCCGTACACGTGCATGCTGCAGTCTATGTGATCATTGGCAAATAGTCCCTTTAGTACAGATTTCCGTCAAGCTATTGAATCAGGTAGATGACTACATCCACCCGTTAAGAAGTAGCTACCTTCGGATACATGACGCAATCTCACCAAGGTCTCTAGGACTCCGTTACCACCAAACTGGTTTAATTCATCTTTGGAGAGGTTGGCTATGGTGGTTGTTGAGGTATACTTCGGTTTTTTGAAGCCACAGGTAAGAGCTAGGTAAACGGTGGAGACCAAAGGAATCCAACGATCTACAAGCTAGGAGATGCTATTCCTATCGGATACCCCTTATACTGAAAGGTTCACAAAGACAATACATTAAATCTCACGTAGTAAACAAATTATACGAGAAAAACAGGAGTTAGCACAAAACGCTTACCTCGAGAGCTGGTCCACGGTGTTTTTCACGGTAATCTTCTCCCTCGAAATAGTAGGCTGAAGTGGCTGGACCGTTCTCTTCGGGTGTGTCAAACTTCAAAGAACGCAAGCTGGATTCACCCAGTTTGGCAAGCTTTTCGTTCATTTCTGCGGTTCGTTGTTCACCACGGGCCAGGAGAATATCTATATCTTCATCCTTGAAATCACTGTCCTTGGTGCGGAAAATATAGTTGGCGCCGAATTTGATCATGTCCAACACATCACCCTTTTGTAATTGGTTTGCTTTCTGCTCGACCAAGCGACCTAAGTGTGGGGAAGCAAAAATGATAGATAAATGATGTGATTAGCCACGACCAGAAATATATCGCCGTAGTTAACAGTGGATATGGAACCGATCGTGAGAATCAACGCCTCATGTGTAAGAAAACAATTTTGAGCATCATCATTTCAGCTTATAAAATCACTAACCATTTATCTTCGTGCGGCGGTTTTGGTTGCCGTCTCTTGGCTACCCATTTGGATGAAAGAGCAGAGGGAAGATTGGAAGTAGCGGCAATGTGAAAATAGAAACATCAGACAGAATAAGGTTGCTAAGAGACTGAGAAGTGCCACAGTTTACAACACTCAACCATATCGATCTCTGTCTCTAACCATAACCAGATGTGCTCATCAGCCATGGTTGGCTAATGTCTAATGTAACATTTAATGACCGAAAATAGTTTGCGTATCAGCGCTCCTGGTTTATGTCTAATGCTCTTGCCTCACCATCTGATTATACTTTATCTGTACGAGATAGAAATAGTAAAACTGTTAGAATTCGTTCCTTTGGTTATAACGATATCTTCGGTGGTGTTAAGAGAGACAATCTTTTATCTCCCCTTACGGAGGCAGGCATTCTTTCTCCATCACCTAACTACCTTTTACTAAGCTACTTTACATACCACCAGCAATTCATCCGGTTCCATGATAAATTCTGCGCCGCTAATCTCTTTGATCAATGGTCTACCAGACACCATACCGTTACTTTGAATTTACCTTTTATGGTGAGTTTGTCCTCTCCTAAATGCAATGGAACCTATTAAACGGTTCGCAAAATTTAACCTGTCGTTGAAGTCTTCTCAATGCACAGAAGAGATTACGCCTGGAAGTGGTGTAATGGCTTGTGCGTCTGTGACCGATTAAATCACACACGATGGACTTTTTTAAGCCGAAGATCTAATCATGTCTGGAAATTCGGAGGGCAGACAGATGTCAGAAAAAATGCAGTCTCTTGGTTCTCCGTGTTGGAAATTCCATGAGTTTGCGATTCAGGCCATGAAAATGACAGTGTAAGCGGTACCAGTAAATGAGACACATTTCCGCTTTAAACACGGTCTGGTGATTCAACTGTTGTCAAAAACTAAGGCTTTTGTCGAAAACCGTAAGGGTTCTTTTGCATAGCGGTTGGACGAGCCAGTATTACCCGTACATGAGGCTCACATAAACACCAAGTATGAAGAATTTCGTACTGTATAGTTCGTACACAGGACAATCAGAAACACGCTGCTTATTGCGTAGAACAGGATAGGTGGTTGGTTTGTCTGCCTGTCTATCACCGAATCTTGTCTTACGAGACACTTCTCGGCGAGCTCTAGTCAAGAGACAATTGTAAAACAGAGCGAGCGTTTATTTGAAGCGCATCAATGAAAAACTGTGCTACATCTAAAGGGCTTTGCACAGACGAGAGAGACTACAGTATTGTCCGTTAACTTGACATCCACCAATCCAGTAAAATCGAGAAAACATCGGCCGTTTCCCACGGCAGTGATTGATCTTAGCCCATTTCCACCGATGCTGTGGGATTTCACCTGACAGTAGTGATAAGAATCTATTGCTCCGACATGCAAACATTTGTTCCACTATTGTCCTCTATACCCAATCATCTACTTTAGCTGTTTTTGCCTACCCATAACATTCAAATAACTTTTATCATTGGTTGTCAAATAGCACTGTAGTAGTTTACCACCAAATAAACTGCAGATTCTGAAGCCTTGTCGACCTCTAAATCTGTGGTTTTAACGTGAGGACTTTCATGAAAATGGACCAAGGAGCTCGTCTGGTTCGTACAACGAACCCTTTAGGAATTGAAAGCGCTGCATATCAAGGACGTGAGGTTATGATCCTGATAGTAGGAGCTCAATAAGTGCATCCAGTTTGTTTTCTGCACATCAGGCGATGAAGAAGCCTGTTCAGTTGGTCGACTCGGAATAGGCATTATATCACACTATAGAGTCCAATCCCCACCCACCGGCTGGAATCCTTTGTAGGAAATGGTTCTAGGGTTCAGTTCGGAAGAGAAAAAACACCAAAGCGTTTGTTCATCTCAGCATATGTGCCGACCAACTGCAATGCCCCTCTCACGAATCAAAAGCTCTGTTGGAGAAAAAGCGACCAATCATGATTGACCAAGAATCAAAAAGGAGAGGTATGGTCCACAAAGTCAGCTCTCGAAAAGCATCAAGGACCGTGAAAACTTGTCGGCAAAAATATCTGGAATAGTGGAAGTAGCCACTGCATCATGTGAAAACGAAAGACTATTTCAATGGATGCGCAACACCGGACGGCAGACTGATTAATGAAACAATCTGCGATACAAATACCCAACCTATTTACAATAAGGAACAACTGCTTGATGTCTAGACGGAGTATTTTTAACGAAGCGCGCGAGCCAAATCACTTCACCTATTAAAGTTGAACCTTCGCGATCCTCTCACAGAAGCGGCAGTATAGTTTCGCATCCGAGGTCTGAAGATAGAAGCACCAGAACCTGATGAGCTTATTTCCACTCTCTTAAATAAATACAAATAATCATGTCTTTTTACTTCCTTCTAATTTATTTAATATACAAATGTACAGTCAACATTTAAGGCGAGGGCCGCGGCTATACAAAGGCTGCATAGGAAAATACAGAAGTAGGGAAGACGGGCGGCCGTACAGCGGTTCGAACCCGAGATTCTCAAGTCACAAGTTGCTGACTTAAACACTTGGCCACCCCCGCCAAAGATAGGAGCTTTCTAAAGCACCTGTAGAGGAAATCTTACTAGTTGTTTTCGCATACCGAGTGTTCTCATTTGAGTGGGCGGATGAAAAGCCCATATACGAGACCGAAATCAGTTGATAGGTCAAGGCTAGTGAGTCATCAGATCGGATGATGAGACATATTAGGCACCCTGAACGTGTGAACCGAGTATAAAGGATGTACAAGCGGTTCGACGGGACACCAGTCCTAAAAACTGCGGCTGTTTGGTGGGGTAGGTATTGAATAGACGAAGGCTGTGAACATCATCTGTCACGGCTTGAACAAGCTACGTGTACTGCCACGAAATCGTGGATTGTTTTCCCGTTATAACACTTTTTCTACAAAAAGACCGAGTAAAGACCAGCGTGAAATATACTGTGCATTATTTCACATAATGTTTCGTCCCCAAAGAAAAACTTAGTTGTGATTTCTTCTGAAACGCAAACCGATCTAATTTTACGCATATCATTATCATCATCATCATCATCGTACAGCGAGATGCCGTGAAGCGAACTTCACTGACCGCTGCCAAACTCGTAATGCATACAAGGTTAGTGGTTAAATTTAAGGTGGACGGGGATTGGATCTATTTTGAGGGACGAAGATGAATGTAAGCCACTATGGTCAACACAGAATACGCAATCGAACTCTGTATACATACCGTTTCAAGCATTCTGACCTGATAAGAAATTTGTATGTTGATTGTGAAAAGTTCAGTAACCTCGGTGGGATTCGAACCCACGCATGGACACCGCCTACG